AAAAGGTCACACGGAACGAGTCTGTGGGGGTAAAACTCTTTTTACCCTCGCTGACAGATACTGAGCCCAGTTTTTGGACATCCAGTATCTTCACCGGGGGAAGCAAACGGTTCTTGAAACGGCCAACCGCCTGCTTCTCCAAGATCTCGGGGGTCAGACTCGCTTCGGTGACCACACCTTCGATCTCCACATCACGAGCTGGGATGTAAACTCTGTACTCGAGCGTGAAGAGCTGGGAGGCAGCAATCTCGTTAGCCTGCTTCAGGTTAGAGACGGAGACACGAAGTTTATTGTGCCTAACCTTCGTGATTTCAGTCACGGCCGAGTATCGCTTCGTCAGATCATTAGTAATTTGCATTACATTCAAAGGTTTGTTTCTGGGCTGAAAGTAGACAACCCATGGGCCAGTCGAGTCATCTGGATAGGCTCGCGATCGGGGGTTTATCTGAGCCTGTCCTTTGCCAGACTGAGACGATGAACCAGAGAGAGATGACGTACGTTTTCGACCCTTCTTGCCATCGCGTGGCAAAGTGGTGTCATCTTCCGACAAAACGTCCATTTCGTCTTGCGACAAAATGTCCATTTTGCCGTACTAGTGGGAGCGAAAAACGCTCTACCACTGAAACGATAATCACTCGGACACAATACACAAAAAAAAATACAAACACAGAACACAAACTTAAAATTTAACTGTGGGCGAAAGAGAGAAACAAGAACAAAAACTTATCTGATAATCCTATACTACTACCACCGAGCGTTTAAACGGCAGCAGCGGAGCGACGCGCAGCGTGGATGATCTTCGATCAGCGTGTGCGGGCGGTCTTCGTTGGTGTGTGCTTATGTTAGGGTCGGCACTCAGCACACACGATGATAGATGAGCGGTGTAAATGCGGAGGCAGATGCTGACACTCGATGACGATGATCCGTGTGCAGGTATGCGTTACCACGCACCGATGGTGCGCAAAATGGTTGGCGAATTGGCAATCGTAAAAACAATTTTCCTTCCGATGATGCCGAAAACACACTTTCTTCTCAGAAAAAAAACTCACTTTTAGTTAATTACTTAGCTGGGAACTCTAAGCGAGAAAAAACTGACAATTTAAATCAAGCGAATAGCGAGAAAACTTCCAAAATAGCGGAGCGCGAACTAAGTCGACCGTACTTCTTGCTAGGACGCAGTGGAATGTTCCGTTTTGTCTAGTAATAAAGTTGTTAATTAGTGTTTGCGTGATAAATAAAACAAAACAAAATTTTAACGCACATTCCAAAGCATGTCTGGACCGGTACTGTGAATTGGTAGTTCTTGGGACGCTAATTTTCAGAAAACAGATATGGATTGCATGTACTTTCACTGCTCTCTATGCGGACATAGTAATGGAGAACACGGAATGATTTGTCTTCTAGTCTGATTTTTTCAACACGAAATATGCTTTGCTTTCTATTGGTGTCAGGTACGTTAAACTAATATTTTAGTCCAATTATTATGGATAATTATAGGCTAATGGTTAACGTCTATGGAACTGAGATAGGGGCTTATAAATAGTTTCCCGAAATTTCTACATTTAGGCGGGAGAGCTGATTTCAGGCCAAAGAGATTTCAAATGGCCCTCAAGTGAAAATTCACCAGTCATTTGGCTTTATATCTGACTTATTGTGGTTTTATAATGGCAATAAACAATATTTTTAGTTTAAAAACAGCATTTAATAGTGTTAAACGTTTTTGGTCAGCAATTTAGATTTTTGCTGTCTTAAAAACTTTATAAAGTCTGAAAATAAAGCCAAAAAGTGTCTGGATTTAAAAATTAATTTAATGCAGCACTCTATTCCTTCATAAAACTGTTTTGTTGTGAATTAATCATAAACCTCGTTAGTTCAAAAACTAACGTTCGGTTTTAAACTAGAACAAAAAGAAAATATTATTGCCTTTTGGTGTCAATAAAGTGCATCATAAAATAACCCATTACTCTGTTAAAAAATTGAACATGCTGAAAAAATAGGATCGTAACATTTTATAGAAACATGTTGTACATAAGGCTAGCAAGTTTCCATCAAATACAATCAGCTATAAATGTGTTGTAAACAGGTAATTGAGTCATGCAATACCGAATTATAACTTCAAGATAACAAGTGCTGTCAGAAAGGTTGAATACTTCACAAACAACAAAACACAGAGTTCAAAACATGATGTTTTCAAAGCAATTTAATATATCTTATTTGCCACTGGGATTTCCTTTCTTTTTCATGAACGATGTTGCAAGTGTTACTTGGTCATCAAATGGAATTGTTTAAGAACTTTGCACAATCTGAGAATTATTTTTAATGTTTAACCGTTCAAATCAGATGTTCACAAGCCTATAATTATCATGCAAAGTAAAGAAAAAAGGTTTAAGAAAGCAAATCATTAACATACTTATTTATTTACCACAAATATACAATATGTGAGGATGTAAAAAATTGACAATCCTAAAACATTAACCATTTGACCGAGGGAATTTTTCTTGTCATTTTAAGAATACTATTTTCATTTCGTTGTTCCCTTAGATGGAGATACTAAACGTGAAATATCAGACTTAAAATGGAAAATTTCATACGATCGATTAAAGTATTGGGTTGATAAGTCCGTTATAGTACGGCGCTGTGAAAATTGTATTTAGAAAGTAGAGCTGGGACTCTGATTATTCGGTTATTTTTCAATTTTATTAAATTTTGGCAATTAATAGATCTGCCATTCCACATCAGGTCACATGGGCAACCTAGAACCAACTTTTTGTCAAATATTCAGAACAGTAAATAAGAAAACTGCTAAAGGTAGAATAAATTTGAAATTTCACTATCCGGATATCCGGACAGTTACTATCCGCTTGATTACCATCTCAACGTTTTTTCAATAAATTTTATATCAATATTGAGCACTAGAAAGCATAAAATTCTGTAAACTGAATATCAATTCAACGATATTTCATTTGTCTGAAAGTAATTTTATTGAAAAATAAAACTGAAGTAGTTGAAGTCCCAGCTCTAATAGAAAGTAGAACACGAGCAGAGGAAGATACAAATCGGAATGATCATCCCCCGTTGATGATGGATGGTGAGGGGTATCACCCCCGCTACCACTGGCAAAAGGAATGGTCGTTGATTTGCTCATGTACCTCCGATGTGCAGAAACCTTTCAATCGATTGTTTCACACTTTATTCTTATTACTCAAATTTACCATACAAAAAGACTGCGACAATAGTGACCCATAGAAGTAAAGGCTCACATTGACCCACTTTTTGTAAGACAAAAGAGCCCCCGAAGAAACATTTCATTTGTAATCTTAAATGACGGGAAAAGTGCCCTTTTCAAATGGTTTTAAGAATGCTAATTGTTTAAATTTAATTTTGAAAAAGTCACCGTGTTTTGTTGATTTTCGAATTATATTCTACAAATTGGTTTCCTAAAGCTTAAAATTATCAACTAGGACCATGATGTTTCCAGAGGTTGAGCGTTGTCATTTAAAACCCTAGTAAATCGACGATTCTAATTAAGTCATTTTCTATCGAAACTGTACACTAGGAGGAGTTGAAGCAATAAAATGTTTTCGCTGCATATCTTAACCCAAATGTAGGGACAAGGCTTTATTTAAAAATCCTGGCCAAGGAAAATTTAGTGAAATATCTAGTGTAGCGCTAGTCTCCGCTGGTGAAAGCCAACCAGGGCCAGTAATGTTCTTATATTCTGAAGGAAAACTATTCTTTTGAGACTTGATCAAGACTGGGGTTTTTATTTTTTGGATTGGTTTATAAATACCTGAGATATACAATATTGTTAAAACTATGCTTAATATAAACTTCTCAAACTACCTGTGCATAGTACCCTCCTCGGAGGTATAAGGTATACATTTATTTGCCTACGAACATGCTACCACTTTACACAGATAGCAAGTAAGTGGTAAGAATACCACACTAGCAATCGAATTGGCGTGAAAATTTTCAGTTTAAATAATTTACCATAGTACTTACAACAGGTACACACTACTATACATAATCGTTCATCAACACTACACAAAATGACACCCGTAGCTAGTTTCCATTATGCACGTACTTTCACCACTTTTAGCACATATACTGCACGCACATATCTACACACATTTCCACCCACTCCTACAAAAACTTCTCCCCCACACCCACACACCCACACACAAACCGCACGAACTTTCTTTTGGGTTAAAATTTGCATCTTGAGTTGTTTAGCGCATCTTTGAATGCAGTACATATGGAACATAGGCACGTTATCTACTTTAAGTGCGACACCACCTTGGTACGGTATGGCTGCTTTTGGGTAGTTTTCAAATTCGGTTGCACCCTTAGTAAGAGAGAAAAAAGAAACCGACAGAATGTCCGTTTTTCGATTAACGATATTTTCTTTTTTCCCAAACCGTTTTTCTTTTCTTTCGTTCGTTTTAGCATGATGAAAGTTTTCCACCGAGACTCACAGCTTCCATCCACCGCCATATGGTGGCGCTTTCGTTTGGTTTTAAGTTTTTTTTCTCGGTTTCCGTATGTCTACTTTGAAATTCGAAACCAAAAATAAGTTAACACACGGCCCAATGGTGGTTCCATGCCTTGGTAGAGCCAAGCAATAGTTGATTGAAAATGTAAACAAAACCAAAAACAAAACCGTGCTCAAATGTTGATTCTAGTTCGGGATGAAAACAAGACACAACCAACACACCAACAGACAAACACCCCCACTCTATGGCCAACCATCGAAGACTGCAGCCCAGCCAATTTTATTTTATTGCAATTATGAGAAGCGATGTAGGTTCTTGTCCAGCAGACGGTTTTAAGTATATTTGTTTTCCTTCTGTTTAAGTTAAATTCTGCCCAGCTTTCGATATGATTTTGCAGTGTGTGTGTTTCTAGCACATTTGGCTGATCCTAGTGAACTTTCCAGTGTTCGATGAAAAACAAAATTAAAAACTAATCCACTATTCTTTTCGCCATATTCGAACGAGCAGCCGGTACCGACGAGCGACCCGCCGAAGACAGCAGAAAAAATGGAGCGACCTCCGCTCGAACCAATGTCAGAATTATTCTGTTCGCAGCTCTGCTGGGACTTGCACTGAAATTCTAATCGTTCATCCCCGGAACCGGAGCGTGGTTTTGTTCAGTTTTCGAGTAGTTTGAGCGAATGTTCACGAGTTCGTGTTCGAGAAGGGAATCCAAATCCAACCATCCAATCAACCAAGCCAAGTGAAAAGGAACAGCAGAGGATGAGTTTTGCGTCAGAAAATTGATCTCACAATTTGTTCCGAGCGCAGCCAGCTTCAACAACATGTACCATTTCGAGAGCCAGTGACTCAAAGCCAGATCCCTTCTCCAGATGACCCGGATGCGATGAGAGGACGTAGCAGTAAAAAAAAAACAAAAATCGTGATACAAAGCACTTATGAATATTTTTTCATCTTGTGTGTGCGTTTCCCGGAACGCACATAACAAAAAATTGAATCGATTTTCTTAGTTTCAGTGTACACCTATGTTATGTATGTATTTCTATTTGTTTTAATCCAACCAAATAGGATTTCGAATTCGGTTTTCTATAGTATATATAACAGAGAAACAAAGCAACTTCAGTCCAAGTCATTACCGTAAGACCCTTAAGTTTGTTTGTTTTTAAGTAGAATTTACACACAAATACGATCGAGACAGGAGCGAAGGAAGAAAACAGTAAACGGTGCCTTTAAACAATTTGTAAATAATCATTAACTAAAGTAATTCTAAACGGAAGGAAAACGTAACCCGAACATTCTGAAAGAATGGCATGCAATGAAGACGAGGAAGAAACATTCTATTGATTGTTGATTGTTATTTATCATTTTCTTTCGAAAGTCTAGCATTCCCATCTGAGCGAATCCAGAGAAAACCGAAATTTACCATATCTTCTTGAACTTTCCTCCAAATCAAAGTGAACTAAAAGTGCATTCATAAGTGTATCATTTCAGAGTTAGGAGAATTTATTATCATTATATGAAAATTTTGTACATATTTATTGCGAATAGTCCTAGGATTAACCGGAAAGTATATGATGCAAACAAAATAAAAAAGTATAAGCAATTTACTGTTTGTAATTGTTTGTGTTTGACAGTTTGGTACAATATCCGAAATCCTTCTATGGCTGTATGTTTTTGCAATCTTTCATTGTAAATTTAGGGATATCGAGCAGTTGGAATTGGTCGACCAAGGCATAACATGTATTTTGTCCGTTACAGTTGTCTCCGGTATGGCCAATAATTTTCTGCATGACGATCTCCTTAAATAAAATATTTTGGTAGGTTGTTTATTACCAATATTGCCAGATATTATACTAACAAGTTTGTTGATCATCTCACTGCGTCCTAGCAAGAAGTACGGTCGACTTGTTTCGCGCTCCGTTGTTTTGGAAGTTTTCTCGGTATTCGCTTGATATAAATTATCAGTTTTTTTTCTCACTAAGTGACTCCTGGCATAGTTCCCGGTAAATTGATCGAAAAGTGAGTTTTTTTTAGTAGAAAGTGTCATTTTCGGAAAGAGTAATCCGTGCTATTGGTAATTCGCAAGCCAATTTGGGCATCATCGTTGCGTGGTCACGCATACGCGCTCACGCATACCCGCTTACGTATCATCATCATCGAGTCTGAGCACCCGTTTCTACATCTACATCGTTCATCAATCATCGTGCGCCTGTGTGCGCTGAGTACCGAGCCTCGATCAAGTGCACCACAACGAAGGTCATCCACGCAGCGCGTCTCTTCCAGCCATCTGTGTAAACGCCTACACATATAACGCTCGGTGGTAGTAGTATAGGATTATCAGATAAGTTTTTGTTTTTTTCTTGTTTCTTTTCCTCCCCCATTAGTTAAATTTTCATTTTGTATTTCTGTGTTTGTAGTGTTTTCTGTGTATTGTGTCTTTGCGTTCAGTGGGAGAGCGTTTTGCGCTCCCACTAGTTGAACAAAATGGATGTTTTGTCAGAAGACGACATGGATGACCATTCATCTCAGAAAAATGATGATGTCATCCCTGGTTCGTCGTCTCAGTCTGACAATGGGCAGGCTGAGAAAAGCTCCAGATTGCGGGCCTACCCGAATGACTCGACTGGCCCATGGGTTGTCTATTTTCAGCCCAAAAACAAACCCTTGAATGTTGTTCAGATATCTGATGATCTGACAAAGCGATTCTCTGCCGTGACCGAAATAACGAAGGTTAGGCACAACAAACTTCGTGTGACCGTCGCTAACCTGAAACAGGCCAATGAAATTGCTGTTTCCCAGTTTTTCACACTGGAATATAGGGTGTACATTCCAGCTTCTGATGTGGAGATCGAAGGCGTGGTCACTGAGGCGAGCCTGAACCCCGAGATACTGGAGAAGCAAGCGGTTGGCCGATTCAAGAACCCCTTGCTTCCTCCGGTAAAGATACTGGCCGTTCATAGAATGAAGTCAGTATCGCTCAGCGAGGGTAAAAAGAGTTTTACCCCCACAGACTCGTTTCGGGTGACCTTTTCTGGATCTGCCCTTCCTCAATACATCGAGCTGGGAAAACTTCGTCTTCCTGTGCGGTTGTTTGTACCTCGGGTCATGAACTGCCAGAATTGTAAGCGGTTGGGACATACGGCCTCCCACTGCGGCAACAAGGCACGCTGCTCCACATGCGGGGAGAAGCATGAGGATGGCGCCTGCGCAGCTACTGCACCAAAATGCGTGTACTGCAATGGAACTCCTCCTCATGCTCTCTCGTCGTGCCCGGCGTGCAAACAGCTCGGGGACAAAATGAAACGCTCCCTTAAGGAACGTTCCAGGCGGTCTTTTGCAGAAATGCTTAAGACAGCCAAGCCATCGACCAACGAAACAAATCCCTTCGCTCTTTTGTCAGATGACGAGTCTGGCTCTGACTTGGCTGAGGAGGGAGTTTCTTTCAGTTTTCCGGAAGGTTCTGCCCGGAAACGAAAACGCATCCGTTCGCGGAAAGTTGCAGATCAAGAACCCCAAATCAGCTTGCCCAAATCAAGGAGTGGTGGAAAAAAGGAGACTTCTACTCCTCCTGGATTCCGCAGAACTGACTATACCCAGGATTTTCCACCTCTTCCGGGGACATCCAAAACCCCTGATGCCCCAATTTTCAGAACACAAGCCCCTTCTTCATCTGGGTTGTTCTCATTTGATAACATTGTGGACAGTATCCTCAATTACCTCGATATTTCTGATCCTCTGAAAAGCATTGTTCTGGCAATGCTTCCTACTGTGAAAACCCTCTTGAAGCAGTTGACATTGAAGTGGCCCCTCCTTGCAGCAATCATCTCCTTCGATGGATAATTTTCCAAACGAGGTCGGGGATTTGATCACTGTTCTACAGTGGAATTGTCGAAGTCTTATTCCTAAGATTGAATCGTTTAAGTTTTTGGTTCACAATAATGATTGTGATGCATTTGCTCTGTGTGAAACTTGGCTCTCTTCAGATATCGATCTTCCTTTTCATGATTTTAACATTATTCGACTGGATCGTGAGGATTCGCGTGGAGGAGGAGTACTTTTGGGGATCAAAAAGTGCCATTCCTTCTATAGAGTGAATCTTCCACAATTTCCAGGTATTGAAGTTGTCGCATGTCAGGCTTTTGTTAAAGGCAAGAGCCTTTGTATTGCTTCTGTGTACATTCCTCCCCGAGTTTCGATTAGTCAAAAACAACTTTCAGATATCTGTTCAGTTCTTCCTACTCCACGGTTGATTATGGGAGATTTTAATTCCCACGGTACAGGCTGGGGGGAACTGTATGATGACAACCGTTCTACTTTGATATATGACCTCTGTGATAACTTCAATATGACAATTCTTAACAATGGAGAAGTAAAACGTCTGGCTGGTCCATCCTCAAATGGAAGTAGATTAGACCTCACACTTTGCTCTAATTCATTATCGTTGGATTGCACGTGGAATGTGATCCAGGATCCCCACGGTAGTGATCACTTGCCGATCGGCATTTCGATTGCCAGTGGGTTCAATTCGTCGGAATCCGTTAACGTCGCGTACGACCTCACCCGTAATATCGATTGGACAACGTTCAAGACCGCGACAGATGAAGCCGTGTCGTCGGTAGAAGAGCTTCCACCGTTGGAGGAATATAACTTCCTCTCCAATCTGATCTTGGACAGCGCGCTTCGAGCTCAAACTCGGCCGGTTCCAGGAACGTCTTTTCGTAGGAAACCTCCTACCCCTTGGTGGGACCAGCAATGCACTGAGGTTTATCGTAAAAAGTCCGACGCGTTTAAGCTTTTCCGGAAACGCGGAACACCCGAGTATTTCGAAGCGTACTCGACTCTTGAACGCGAACTCAAGAGCCTCATCAAAGCCAATAAACGTGGATACTGGCGGCAATTCGTGGACGGTTTATCGCGCGAAACGTCGATGAATACGCTTTGGAACACGGCGCGAAGGATGCGTAACCGGTCTTCAAACAACGAGAGCGAGGAGTACTCGGATCGGTGGATTCTCAAGTTCGCGCGAAAAGTATGTCCTGATTCCGTGCCGGCACAGATGATTCCTCGCGAAACGACGAATTCGGTAGACGAGATCAGCCAGCCTTTTTCAATGCTGGAGCTCTCACTCGCGCTCCTTTCGTGTCGCAATTCGGCTCCGGGGGCTGATAGGATCAAGTTCGACTTGTTGAAGAACCTCCCAGACGTCGCTAAGAGGCGCATGTTGAACTTGTTTTGTCAGTTCCTGGAGTTCAATATTGTTCCAGATGATTGGAGGCGAGTGAGAGTTATAGCCATTAAAAAGCCTGGAAAACCCGCGTCAGATCATAACTCGTATCGTCCCATCGCGATGTTATCGTGCATTCGAAAATTGTTGGAGAAAATGATCCTTTTTCGCCTTGACAAATGGGTTGAGACGAACCACCTACTCTCAGATACTCAATTTGGTTTCCGTAGGGGTAAGGGAACGAACGACTGTCTCGCGTTGCTTTCCACAGAAATCCAGATGGCTTTTGCTAAAAAAGAGCAAATGGCTTCTGTGTTCTTGGATATTAAGGGGGCTTTTGATTCAGTATCGGTTGAAGTCCTTTCAGACAAACTCCACGCTTGTGGCCTTTCTCCATTAATTAATAACTTTTTGTACAATTTGCTGTCAGAGAAACATATGAGCTTTTCTCATGGAAACTCTACAGCTTCTCGATTTAGTTACATGGGTCTCCACCAGGGCTCATGTTTAAGCCCCCTTCTGTACAATTTCTATGTCAGAGAAATTGACAATTGTCTAAGTGACAACTGCACGTTGAGACAACTTGCAGATGATGGCGTAGTGTCTATGACAGGGCCCAAAGGGGTCAACCTGCAAGGACCCTTACAGGATACCTTAGACAATTTGTCTACTTGGGCTATCCAGCTAGGTATCGAATTCTCCACGGAGAAAACTGAGTTGGTCGTTTTTTCTAGGAAGCATAGCCCAGCACAACCGAAGCTTCAACTTTTGGGTAAGCCGATCACTCATTCCATGTCTTTCAAATATCTTGGGGTCTGGTTCGATTCCAAATGCACCTGGAGATCCCACATTGAGTATCTGAGACGAAAATGCCAACAAAGGATCAATTTTCTCCGAACAATTACCGGAACGTGGTGGGGAGCTCATCCGCAAGATCTTCTAACGTTGTACCGGACAACGATTTTATCGGTTTTAGAGTACGGTAGTTTTTGCTTCCAGTCGGCGGCTAAAACTCACATCATCAAGCTGGAACGGATCCAGTATCGTTGTCTTCGTATCGCGTTAGGATGCATGCACTCGACTCATACGATGAGTCTCGAAGTGTTGGCGGGCATGTTGCCACTATCGAATCGGTTTTCGGAATTGTCTCACAGGCTCCTCACCCGTTGTGAAGTTATGAACCCACTGGTAATCGAAAACTTTGAGAAGCTTCTTGAGCTAAACCCTCAAACTCGTTTTATGTCATTGTACTACGTGTACATAACTCAGGATGTCAGCCCTTCACAGCATAATCCCCATCGTGTATGCTTCTCCGACTTCAGCAATTCAGTTAGTTTTGATTTATCTA